ACTGAGGACATACTGTGAGTGCAGGGTGTCAAGGACACCCCATTACCTCAGCAACTTTGAATCACTGAAGACGACCCAGCCTGGAGCAGAGGTGAAGAGGACCATATGGCATCACACTACTGATCCACTAATACACCCAGAAGACTGAGGACATATTGTGAGTGCAGGGTGCCATGGACACCCCATTACCACAGTATCATTTATTTACCATGTAATGTACAGAGTGGGGCTGATGTCATCATATCAGCAGTGCTCTCTGATTCACTGAAGACCACCCAGCCTGGAGAAGATGTAAAGAGGACCATATGGCATCACAATACTGATCCACTACTACACCTAGAAGACTGAGGATATACTGTGAGTGCAGGGTGTCGTGGACACCCCATTACCACAGTATCCTATGTTTACCATATAATGTGCAGAGTGGGGCTAATGTCATATTAGCACTGCTCTCTAAATCACTAAAGACCACCCAGCCTGGAGCAGAGGTGAAGAGGACCATATGGCATCACACTAATGATCCACTACTACACCCAGAAGACAAGTCATAATGTAAGTGCAGGGAATTATGGACCCCACATTCATTTAGTAATGGAGCAGAGCAAAGGGCTGATATAATCATTTCAGCACTGCTCTCTGAATAACGGAAGATAACCCATTCTAGTGTAGAGGTGAAGGAGCCCCTACTGCATCACATGATTGGCCTTAAGACTTTGGAAGAGGTAAGTAAATAATCGAACGAAAAACAAAAGCAGCATAACATATAGCAGGAGCCCGCAGGGGAGAGAGGAAAAGCCTTTACAGTTGTGGCCAAAATTATTCAACCCCCAATGCTGTAAAGGGGTTTAGGGACTATAGTGTACATTTGGAATTGTATTCAGAATCAAATCCACAAGGACGTTGTAACTACCCAAATGCAACTAAAATGACATCAATTGTTTATGTAATACAGTAGTAAATGGTTCTTATGTGGTTTCTTCATTGCCACAATTATTCAACCCCTTAAAGACTACCACTCTGAAGAACAGAGGTTCATACAGGTGCTTTCCATCAGGTATTGAAAACACCTGTGGATGTCACCGAGCAGCAATCAAGCATAATAAGCACCAATTAGGCAGCTTTAAAATGACTGTGATACTCAGCTCCTTCTAGACATTTACTGGTGTGGTTACAAACATGGTGAAGGCAAGAGAATGGTCCAGGAAGACAAGAGAAGAGGTGATTTCTCTTCACAGGAAGGGCAATGGCTATAAGAAGATTGCAAAGATGTTAAACATACCAAGAGACACCTTAGGAAGCATCATTCGCAAATTCAAGGCAAAGGGCACTGTTGAAACGCTACCTGGTCGTGGCAGAAAGAAGATGCTGACTTCGACTGCTGTGCGCTACCTGAAGCGTAGAGTGGAGAGAAGTCCCCGTGTGACTGCTGAGGAACTGAGAAAAGATTTGTCAGATGTGGGTACAGAAGTTTCAGCCCAGACAATAAGACGCACACTGCGTAATGAAGGCCTCCGTGCCAGAACTCCCAGGCGTACCCCCTTGCTGTCTCCAAAGAATAAGAAGAGTCGACTGCAGTATGCCAAAAGCCATGTGGACAAACCACAAAGTTGTGGGATAGTGTTCTGTGGACTGATGAAACAAAATTAGAACTGTTTGGGCCCATGGATCAACGCTATGTTTGGAGGAGGAAGAACAAGGCTTATGATGAAAAGAACACCTTGCCTACTGTGAAGCATGGTGGAGGGTCAATCATGCTTTGGGGCTGTTTTGCTTCTGCAGGTACAGGGAAGCTTCAGCGTGTGCAAGGTACCATGAATTCTCTTCAGTACCCAGGAGATATTGGATGGAAACGTGATGCAGTCCGTCACACACCTGAGGCTTGGGAGACGTTGGACCTTTCAACAGGACAATGATCCCAAGCATACCTCCAAGTCCACTAGAGCATGGTTGCAGAGGAAAGGCTGGAACATTTTGGAGTGGCCATCGCAGTCACCAGACTTAAATCCGATTGAGAACCTCTGGTGGGACTTAAAGAAAGCAGTTGCAGTGCGCAAGCCTAAGAATGTGACTGAACTGGAGGCCTTTGCCCATGAAGAATGGGCGAAGATACCCGTAGATCGCTGCAAGACACTTGTGTCAAGCTATGCTTCACGTTTAAAAGCTGTTATATAACTGTAAAAGGATGCTGTACTAAGTACTAAGATTGAATGTCACTTGGGGGTTGAATAAAACTGATAATGCTGTGAGCACAGAAAAGACATTTGTGGTTATTTCATTATAACTGTTATGTTATATTTGTCTGACCTACAAGTGCCTCTTTAATGTAAATGTAAGCAAGATGACTGAATGATCAAAAGCAATGTCAAACTGGCCAAAACACTCAATTTCAGTGGGGGTTGAATAATTTTGGCCACAACTGTAGATGGAGGAGGACCACAAGCTCAGGTACAGGCTTTGAAGTAAATGTCTCTTTTCTCATTGTAGAAAAGTGAAAGGTTCTCGTAAAAACCCATCCTAACCACTGATATGCATATTGAGGGGTACGCTTGTAGGACTGTAGAAGGAATGTTAGTTTATGAGCTGTACGGAAGGAGGCACTGATTACATTTCTGCAAAATGCTGCTTGCACAGGGTATCCACCTACAGACGGTCCTATTTATTCCTGTTGGAAATGCACGTGAATCACATGGATCCTCCCAGTATGGAATAACAAGTAGACCGTGCATGTTGTAACATAGGGAATCCATAGCCCTGTGTGGGCTATGACTCCAGCAACCTATATAGCTTAAAGAAACAAGAAAAATAGAAAATAAAAATCCCACTTGATGGTAGTGCTAGTATAGAAACATAGACATTTGCATAAAAAAAATAAGTATATAAAAGTAAGACTTATATATACTAATATTGAACAGCTGCCACTGAAAAGTGCAATCACCACACTTATATAGTCACTTTTATTTTTAAATCAACTTATATAGCTTACCTGGCTCTTAGCGGCTGAATAAGTGGAAGGAGAGCAACACCAAGGTAAGTATCTCTATGGAGGTACATATCAAACTGAACCTGTTGATTTGCCTTGTGTGGTAATGAACAGGTTCAACTTAAAATGGTAAACTCTTTATATATACCCAGTGGAGTTACTTGGCCTACAGAGATGGAACAAATCCTCATACATAAGTTGTACCTGTTTATCCATAGCTATCTTTCCCCTACATCCATTCAAAGTGCAGAATTTACAAAGGATCTCTCAGCTCTGAAATGCGGAGGGCGAGGAGCTGAAGTTACATCTGTGAGGAGAGCTCTGAAAGCTGACTGGAGGAAAGGGACTTCCCTTCCTTCACACAGGAACAGAGCTGAGACTGTCAATCATAGGCTGTGCCATCCTTGTCTCCAATTTTCTCTTGGTGTCAAGAAAACTTGTCAGAAATTACTCCTGCTGTTAGCAGGAGAATGAGGCAATGGACAGAAATGACACTTAGTGTTCCGGTTTGAGACAAGCACACACTATAGAGCAGCAGTCACTAAATGGCGGACTGCGGTCCAAGAACAGCCCCAGTAGCACTCCCTTCTGGACCGCCACTCTGGGCACTCTGATGGGCACGTGTAATACATGTAATGTTCAGGTGCACTCTGATGGGCACAACATAGAATGTGCCCATCAGAGTGTCCCTTAACATAAAATATACCCATCAAAGTGCCCTTTAACATAAAATATACCCATCAGAGTGCCCTTTAACATAAAATATACCCATCAGAGTGCCCCTCAATATAAATGCGCTCATCAGAGTGCCCCTTAATATAAATGTGCTCATCAGAGTGCCCCTTAATATAAATGTGCTCATCAGAGTGCCCCTTAATATAAATGTGCTCATCAGAGTGCCCCTTAATATAAATGTGTCATCAGAGTGCCCCTTAATATAAATGTGCTCATCAGAGTGCCCCTTAATATAAATGTGCTCATCAGAGTGCCCCTTAATATAAATGTGCTCATCAGAGTGCCCCTTAATATAAATGTGCTCATCAGAGTGCTCCCTTAACATAAAATATGCCCAAAAGAGTGCCCCCTTAACATAAATGTGCCCATCAGAATGCTCCCTTAACATAAAATCTGCCCAAAAGAGTGCCCCCTTAACATAAAATGTGCCCATCAGAATGCTCCCTTAACATAAAAAAATATGCCCATCAGAGTGCCCCTTAACATAAAATATGCCCATCAGCGTGCCCCCTTAACATAAATGTGCCCATCGCAGTGCCTCCTATTTTATGGGGCACTCTGATGGGCATCTTTTATGTTAAGGGGGCACTCTGGGTACATGTTATGTTAAGGGGGCACAAATGGGCACATACTGTGGAAAGGGGCATTCTGATGGGCACATGTGATGAAAAGGGGTACTCTGATGGGGAAATATGATGGAAAGGGGCACTTTGAGTGTAAGAGGGCACTCTGACGGGAATACCTGATGTAAGTTGGCACTGTGATGGGGATACCTGATGTAAAGGAGCACTCTGATGGGCACACCTCATGTGATGGGAATACATGATGTAAAGTTGCACTCTGATGGCGACACCTAATGTAAGGGGGCACACTGATGGGCACACTCTATTCGGACCTCGGACAGAAGAAAAATGTAGTGACCGGACCTGCTATAGAGGGATATGCTTTGTTCATATTTAACCTCTGATGTTTACCACCACTTTAAGGCCTTGTAAGAGGAGCAAGAAAATAGTCCATTGAAGAAGATTTAAGAAAGTCAGCTGGTGATTCAACCTTCGAGTCCTCATAACACTGAAATATTTATTTTCAGTGAGGGTGGCCTTTAACAATTTTAACTCCCACCATCCATGTTAAATGGACTGCTGCCTGTAGCATACATTACTACGATCTTCAACTGTCACTCTTTTCTCTAGCAGACTACAGAGATGAGGACTATTTACCGCATGAATCTAACCATAAAAGAGACACGTCATGCAATTCAAGCTCTGGAAAGACGTCTCCTTCCTGCGAGGTCTGTGGGAAAGTATTTGGCAGTAAGTCAACTCTTGAGAAACACCTACAGATACATACTGGACAGCGTCCATATCCATGCAGCGATTGTGAGAAAAGTTTCTCGTGTAGGAACCACTTGATAACTCACCAGAGAACTCATACTGGAGAGCGACCCTTTCCCTGTAACCAGTGTGAACGGAGGTTCATCAAACACCAGCACCTTGTACTTCATCAGGTAGTCCACACTGGTGAAAAGCCCTACGCATGCCCCGTGTGTGGGAAAGGCTTCACTCGGCAATCCAGCGTGGTCAAGCACTCCGGCATGCATGCAGAACAGAAGCCATTCGTGTGTAATGTGTGTGGCAAGAGTTACTGCCAATATGCCAGCCTGGTTGTTCACCAGCGGCTGCACTCAGGGGAGAAACCATTTGTCTGCAAGTACTGTGAGAAAGCCTTTACATGTAAAGCCACCATGTTGAAGCACGAAAAGTCTCACACGGGGGAAAAGCCTTTCCCCTGACCTTGGTGTCATAGGTATCTAATTGACAAGTCCAGCCTGGCTAAGCACAAGCGTTAAGTCCATTCCAGAGAGCCTAAATAGACAGCAGATGTGGACCCTAGCTAGGTATACTAGGTCCCAGTCTGCCGAAAGCTAATATTGGATTTCATGGTGGATGGGGAAGCAACCTGTTGGAGGTACTTAGAGAAGAACTCTGGGAAAAAATGTTATTGTCTTGTAACAGCTCCTTTTTGCCTAGGGGATTTCAGAGCAGAGATATACTTGCCCAATCCGCCGATCCTCCAAGTGCAAGACCAGTCCTCTTCACTCCTGCTCCCCTGCACGCTAGCGGTCTTGTGAATGGACTGGTCCTCCTGATGTCATTACACCCATAAAACCGGCTCTAGACATGAGGACTGCAGGAACAGTCCACCACTGGATGTGGGGGAGCTCGATTTTCCAGAGAAAGTAAGGATCGGGTAAGTATAGCCTTTCTGTGCACCCCTGGACAAAACAAGCAGTTGACCCATGCAATGTGGGCACAGCCAGATTGCATGGGAGAATAACAATTTTCATGGAGTTATGCTTTGAAGGTACACAACTGCAGTATCCTCCAACCTTCCTGTCCTGGCCAAATGCCAAGCCGTTCTGACATGCAAAGCTCTGACACCTCAGGGTAGAATTGGAGCTTGTCGCTAAGCTCCGGCCTTATGTTTCTTATTGGCCATTCACTATGATTAATAATCTTACTGTTTAGAGTAAATGGTGTAGATAGAGGTCCACTAGAGCCAGCAGCATTTCCTCTCATAACATTTAGAAGGCAGCAGAAAGTGTGTGTAGTTCCAACATGCAGCAGATTGTGCCTTTTATCTTCAGTGACCGTTTTTTTTTTTTTTTTTTTTAAAGGAAATGTTCATATTTGAACTTGTTACATCTATTTTTAGGGTTGAACATGTAACATGTTTCAGCATCTGCAGCCTCCCAGCCCCCCCCCCAATACCCCATGCCTGTGACAGCTGATGTGGGATCCTCTCCCCACACCCCTGTAACAATGTGAAAACAGCCCGGTCGTGCAGGGCTCCTCCCACAGACCATGTAATTTATTCACAGTTTCCTATGAATTAATCAGTAAGATAATTGGTGCTGAGGGGGGACACTCGTGGGGAAATAATAATAATTGAACAAATGCACCAACAATAAAATATATAAAGAACATAAAATGTATCACATACAGTCCATAGTAAAGGCACTAGCAGTAGCAGCTCCCCATAGAGCGAAGCAATGCTCTGTAGGAAATAAAAGAACACAAGGGGGCGCCAACCTAAGTGCAGTAGGTTAAATGAATTTATTAAAATGTAATAGCCAATAGCTACTCACAAAGATAGGAGAATATTAAGCAATCTAAGTTAATCCTCAGCTTGGCCAGTGGGAGGCCAATGGTGTCAGCCTGAGCCCAGGTCCCAGAGGTGGAGTAGAGTGAGAGCCATCAGCTATCAGCGGTGGAGATGCTCATGACCAGCATAGAGCGCATGGAAGTCCGGACTGGGCGTGCGACCACTGGCAGGGCGAGGACGGATCAGGTGACGCGTTTCTAAGCATCCGCTTCTTCTTTAGACCTCTCTCAAGGCTCTTCAGACCTCTCTTGAGGTCCATGCTGGTTACGGCGCTGGTGTCTAGCGTCCCCACCATTGATAGCTGACAGCTCGCACTCTACTCCACCTCTGGGATATGGGCTCAGGCTGACATCATCAGCTCCCCACTGGCCAAGTCGAGGATTAACTTTAGATGCTTACTATTCTCCTATCTTTGTAAGTAGCTATTGGCTATTACATTTTAATGATTTTAACTTCCTGCACTTAGGCTGGCTCCCCCTTGTGTTCTTTTATTTCCTGCGAATTAATGCCTACAAGTACTGTCAGCCATTGCAGCTGACAGCTTGTAGTTCTCAGTGAATTATGGGGGGCACTGGTGACTACTCAGGTAACTTCCTGTCTGTATGAAGTACGAGCAGGGGCGGACTGACCATTTGGAAACGCGGGCACTGCCCAAGGGCCCAGGGTCAGTAGGGGGCCCCATGAAATACCCCTGGTACCTTTTTCATAGGCTTTTTTTGAGTTTGGGCACGGACACAGGGGCCCCATGATCCCCTATTGCCTGGGGGCCCCATGAGTTGTTAGTCTGCCCCTGGGCATGAGCACACAGTTATACTGAGAGTCTGCAGGAGCCTGACATATCACCCACAATCTGCTAACCGAAGGTGCAATATTCTGCAGGCTCCTTGCAAAAAAATGTGCATTTATTATTTTTTTTTTCCAAAGATGAAAATAGAATCGTGTTTTTGTTATTTGGGACCCATTTTGGAGATTTCATTCATTTCCAGCCCCATAGCCAAAACGGGAAGGGAAAGGAAATCCCTTCAAAGTGAAAGGAATCCTTAGTTGTCACCAGAACTAGCACACCCATTGGAAGATTGTTTGTTCTGTTTTTTTTTTTTTTTTTGTGGTGAGAACCCAAATTTTGGATTGTTTTTCATTTTCACTCTCAGTGATGACGGTAAACAGAGAGGGTGGCTCTCCCTAATGGGAGTGTAGTCAGCAATAATAACCTAACAGATGTTTTACTCCCTCTCCAATCTATGAAAAAAAAAAAAAAAAAAAGTTTTGCTCTTTAGTTTAACTTTAACAACGTCAGCTGTATACCGCTATGGACCAGAGCAATCTTTACAGATCCACTATGATACTATTTGATTGGTGAGAACTAACTTTGACATTACTTATGATAAAGTAATACACGCAATGTTTTTAAGGTAAAACTAGACTTTCATTTGACAATATTATTTTGCCAAAAAAATGTTATTCTATTCTATGGAATTTATAGACATAAATACACAGAAATGCTGTTTTCTGTTTTGTGATGGTTTAAAAAGAAATACTGTAAATAAAAAAATATAAATTTTTATCTATAACGTGTCCTGTTTACAATGACGCTAAAATGATGCTTTTGGTACAAAGCATGGCAAGTTTTTGCAAATGGGGGAAAAAAAGGGTATAAAAATAATGGAAATAAAAAAAAAAAAGCGAATATACAAGTTTTTTTAATGCAGAAGAGACTTTGCTATGTCTCATCTACAGTACATTAAAGTTATTTAGCAGCCTGTCCGCTCTGTACATCTCAGCTCGGCCAATGGAAATAGCCGTGGATCAATACCCAGAAACCTTTTGGGCTGAAGATGTCAGCAGCCGGCAGGGAGCTCCAGGGGATCAGAATGTCGGAGAATAGGTGAGTATAGTATACTTAAATAAAACCTGAAAAACTTGTAAGATTCTTAGTTATATCCAATGCAAATTGAAGGTCACACCTTTGATCCATGTTGGAATTAAATAGTAAATGTGATGAATCTGCAGGTGTCATTTACACAAGAGTGGCTGCATTTTGACAATTACTTCTGCTATGTAATACAAAGAAATTACCCGCTGTCCTTTTTAAAACCTGAAATGCATCCTAAAAATGTTTGTATATAGTTTTTTAGAATGCGTTTTCTTGCATTCAAGATCTTCAAGGGGTAAGCCTTATGTTCCCACATCTACTTCGGACTCACTTTGTTAGTACATGCTCACTTTAATTTAATAAACAAAATCATTACTTATGTTTTTTTTTATTGTGTAAGGAATCATTTGTTCTACACAAAACTCTGAGATTTCTTTGCAGAACATGCAAAGGGTTAGTACTTTTTTATATTTTACAAAGGGTTAACCCTGGAGAAAAGGATTGAGAAATCTTGTATCTCTAACCCTAGGTTCACAGCTGTGTGGGTGATGCCGCTGTGGATCTGCATGAAAATCCGTGCAGCCGCACTACCCGCACAGAGAAATGCGGACCTGCGGGCGGGTGCCATTAGTTCTAATGGCACGCTGCCCACACTGGAAGACGCAACCGTACTGGAAACCGAGGTTCCCATGTGGGCTGTGTTTCCCAGAGAAGTGCTGGGATGTCTTCCCTGTGTGTCACGGGCATGGGAGCCCATTCAAATGAATGGGCTCTCGTGCCCATGCAAAAACGCGCCAGCACAGCTGCATGTGAACCGGGGGTCATGGGCGGACTGACCATTTGGAAACTCGGGCACTGCCCGAGGGCCCGGGGTCATTAGGGGGCCCCATGAGATGCCCCTGGTACCTTTTTTCATAGGCTTTTTTGAGTTTGGGCAAGGACACGGGCCCCATAATTCCCGTATTGCCCAAGGGCCCCATGAGTTGTCAGTCCGCCCCTGCCGGGGGTAAGACCCCTTTCACACAAATATTTTGATCGGGTTCACCTGTTTGATTTTCAGGCAGAACCGATCAGAAAGTCCATTCTCCTCTATGTAGTGACGAGTGTAAATGGACACCCACTTACATCCGATCTGCCAAAAACAGACGGATGGGGATTCGTTCCCCTTCCATCCAGTGGATTGCATCAGATGTACCTCCAAAAGAATCAATGCTGTGAGAGTGAATGAGTATAAACCTCGCTTGGAGGTGTACCTTTATTGCATAAAAGGATCACAATATGTGAGGTAGCCTGGGAAAGGTGGAGGACCCGTTCGCTCCTTCGATGTAATGATGTAGGGCAGAGAGAGCTCCTGTGCGCTGGTGGTGAAACACGAGACCTAGAACTGACGTCACTGCGATCTCGGAGAAAGCGGAAGGGGAAGGATCCTGCCTTGTATCGCAAGCCGATGGTCAAGGCTTGTAACCTAGACAACGCGTTTCGCCTTTAATCAGCTGTTCCGTAGGATGGATTTCTGGAGATGACTGGTCACTGCTAAGGACCAATGTTGCAGGTGTTGGTCTTCTTCTTCGAATCTATCATATTTCTATCGTATTCCCAAATAACCTGCAACAGATGGCAGTCGGGTGTAAATAGACAGGTGGTCCATTTACATCCGACCACCAATAGAGGAGAGCAGACTATGTCTGCTCTGCATAAGTGGAGCGGACATGGACCTGTCATCCGCCCGCTCAGCAGGAATCAGCAGACAGAT